ACCACCATCTTGCTTCTTACCAGGGAAAATAAGTAGTTTAACAAATAATCGGTCTGTTATACTGTACCCGTCACCTGTACCCGTCGCCTGTATCGTCTGTCTCAGGTGACAGTACTGCTGTATTCGTCGGTATTGCGTCTCATCTGACAGTATACTGTCTCTCCTGGGACGGTACAGTTAAGTTCGCTGGTATTGTTTCTCTTAACTATCGCTGCTCCCGCTGTTACAGCTGCTACCGATAACTACTTTTGACGTACTTAACTACACTATCGTTAACTACCGCTGCTGGCCTCATATGTCGCGTGTTGCTTTAAACTACCGCCTTTTTTTTTCGCTGCTGTCGCTGATAGTATTACTGTAGACTGATAACTATGCTGCTGTGAACTACCAATGCTGCCGTGAACTACCAATGCTGCCGTGAACTACCAATGCTGCCGTGAACTACCAATGCCGCCGTGAACTACCAATGCTGCCGTGAACTACCAATGCTGCCGTGAACTACCAATGCTGCCGTGAACTACCAATGCTGCCGTGAACTACCGATGCTGCCGTGAACTACCGATGCTGCCGTGAACTACCGATGCTGCTCCTGTCGTTAAAAACAACTGCTACCGTTTACCGTTAAATACAAGTAATGCCGTTAACTATCGCAACTTCCGATAACTACCGTTACTACTGTTGTACTGAAACTGCCGTTAACCAATAACCGTTGCTACGGTTACCGTTAACAACGGAAGGGGGTCTCTACTACCTCCGCTTTCGTTAACTACCGATGGCGCCACGAACTACCATTAACTACTGCTGCTGCTGCTGCTGCTGCTTGAAACCTCTGCTACCCTTTCCGTTAACTACCTCTCCTACCGTTACCTATAGCGATTGATAACTGCCGCTGCTGCTGTTAATTACAGCTGCAGCCGTTAACTGCTGCTGCCGTTAACTCTGCTGTCGGTAACTACCGCTGCTGCCGCTACAGCCGCTGCTGCTGCCGCTACAGCCGCTGCTACCGCTACAGCCACTATGAATGAATACACATTTATGAAAAATGAAAATATGTGGTCATTTAAATATGTGGTTGGGGGGACTATATAGTTGTGTACATATGTGACATAGTGAATAATCCACATACATATGTGTCATTGGCTATGTATTAATCTTAGTAACAAAAGGGTTATGATTGCTTCTGAGAATCGACTACTAAATACCCCTAATTGGTCGATCCTGACGACACAGTTAGCTCTATCAAGCTGGTTAGGGTCTAGCCATGAAGCTGGTTAGGGTCTAGCCATGAAGCTGGTTAGGGTCTAACCATCAATCTAGTCTGGATATTAGCCTCACGTATAACACAGTCTGCCTGTCCCCCATGACACAATGAATTATTATATAATGTTTTGTTACATCAAACATCAGAAACATCACACCAATACGTGTGTGATTATGATGTTGGCTGCTGTTGAGTCTGTGGTTGATTCAAGGAGCCTGGAACCCATTCCTCAGAGAATCCGATTAGTGGTTTTTACCCCCCGAGGGTCAAGAGTCCTCTATTGTAATGAATGGAAGCAATAGCTTTGAGTCAATTCCCATTGCAAAAGCATGCAATCAGTCACAATAAGTCAACGAAAATTTAAATCAGCATTATTTTGACACATAAAACGTTGTTGTTGTTATAGATTCAGCTGCTCGGAACAGATTCCAAGTAGCACGGGCTATGGTGAGCCCGTAACTTACCTGGCACAGGAGCGGGGCAAGTAGCACGGGCTATGGTGAGCCCGTAACTTACCTGGCACAGGAGCGGGGCAAGTAGCACGGGCTATGGTGAGCCCGTAACTTACCTGGCACAGGAGCGGGGCAAGTAGCACGGGCTATGGTGAGCCCGTAACTTACCTGGCACAGGAGCGGGGCAAGTAGCACGGGCTATGGTGAGCCCGTAACTTACCTGGCACAGGAGCGGGGCAAGTAGCACGGGCTATGGTGAGCCCGTAACTTACCTGGCACAGGAGCAAGTAGGGGCAAGTAGCACAGGAGCGGGGCTAGCTATGGTGAGCCCGTAACTGGCACAGGAGCGGGGCAAGTAGCACCTTGGCCCACAGGAGAGGGGCAAGTAGCACAGGCTATGGTGAGGTGAGCGGGGCAAGTAACTTAGCCGTAACTTACCTTGGCACAGGAGCGGGGCAAGTAGCACAGGCTATGGTGAGCCCGTAGTGATGGACACATTAAACGTTTTCAATTTTTCAATTGATTTTGAATATTTGACTCCGTACATGAACCAGGTTAACAGAAGCTTGTGTGGAACTGGATAAGCACCTCCAAAGGATACCTGATCAACCAGGCTGTGACTCGTACGTCAGGCTGCGAGCAGCCGCGTCCAACAGCCTGGTTGATCAGTCCGGCAACCAGGAGGCCTGGTCGACGACCGGGCCGCGGGGACGCTAAGCCCCGGAAGCACCTCAAGGTAACCTCAAGGTAAGGCAGCCCCAAGACGAAGCCAAGATGGAGGCCTCAATTACACTAAGTGTACGCTGCCTCTTGTTTCCAGCTCCAGCCACTTCATATGTGATGAGTGTATGTCCACTTTGTCTACACACACAAGAGTAAGGGGAGACATGATCACTACCTACAAAATTCTCAGAGGAAATGACAGGAAATGATAATAAAGGTAAACTGTTTAACACGTGTGGTACGCGAACTAGGGGGACACAGGTGGAAATTGAGTACCCAAATGAGCCACAGGGGCGTTAGAAAGAACTTTTTCAGTGTCAGAGTAGTTAACAGAGGGAATGCATTACACAGTGATGTGGTGGAGGCTGACTCCATACACAGTTTCAAATGTAGATATGGTAGAGCCCAGTAGGCTCAGGAATCTGTACATCAGTTGATTGACGGTTGAGAGGCGGGACCAAAGAGACAGAGTTCAACCCCCACAAACACAACTAGATGAGTACACACACACACACCCAGCCACACACACACACAGTATGGGGAGCCGGTGGCCGAGCGGACAGCACGCTGTACACGTGATCCTGTGGTCCCGGGTTCGATCCCGGGCGCCGGCGAGAAACGATGGGCAGAGTTTCTTTCACCCTATGCCCCTGTTACCTAGCAGTAAATAGGTACCTGGGAGTTAGTCAGCTGTCACGGGCTGCTTCCTGGTGTGTGTGTGTGTGTGTGTGTGTGTGTGTGGTGTGGAAAAAAAGTAGTAGTAGAAACAGTTGATTGACAGTTGAGAGGCGGGCCGAAAGAGCAGAGCTCAACCCCCGCAAGCACAACTAGGTGAATATAACTAGGTGAATACACCCCCCCCCCCACACACACACACACAGCTACTGCACCTAACTTGGGTCCATCCATGAAATCGCAATTTCCATATTAAGTACTAATAATTAGGTGTTGCGTCACATGCTTAAAACCAATAAGGAAAAAAGTCTATCTTAACCCCACAAGATCCGCCCGAAGGGCTGTCGCGTCTTACAACCGATAGACAAGCATCTTGTATACAATATACATCATCTTGTATACAATATACAGCATCTTGTATACAACATACAGCATCTTGTATACAACAAGTTTGATTCATTTAGGCTTGCCTGATTGACCCTACTTGCCTTAATTGTGGGGGACGTCTCGGTCATATTTTGACCTGTTTAGATTTCAAATTACAGATTGGAATAGTTTACAGCTCCTAATTACTGATTTAACAGCGTTTCTTAGACTACTTAACAATTCTTACAACCTGCCTACCGTCTTGCAAGAATTAATAAGCAATTCTTGAGACCTGCTGGGAGACAGTTCACTTGGTTACTGAGTACTTAAGTTAAGTACAATGAAACATTAATTATTTTCACGATGAGAAATCAACAGATTTTTTAAAAATAATTTTAATTATTATTAAATAATAATGATAGTAAATGATAGTACTAATAATATCCCCTTTAAATGTTAAGAAACCCGGAAAGTTAAATTATAAAAAATAATTAGAATTCAACAAAAATAATGGCAAATGCCAGAATTTGTAACTCTCAGGATTATTTAGAAACCGATTAATATTAAATCAATAAATTAAAAAAACAAAGATCAAGATCGGTCTATAATACTCCAAGCAACTACCAATATAATTTTCACTTCACTATAATCAAAAGCATTCCAGAGGACTCACTAATTAGAAACCGGTAGATCTCAGACTTACCGATTAAAATAATCTTCATGAGAACAGATAATATGAAGCTTAATAATTTAGAACAGAATTATATATATATATATAAATATGTATATATATATATATATATATATATATATATATATATATATATATATATATATATATATATATATATATATATATACATACATATCACGTCATTTAAAATACTTCGTCGTCAACCAAAATTATCTAAACTAATTCAGAAATTTTAAACAAGGTACAGCCAAATATGCATTTTTTTGTGCCAGTTCAATATAAAATAATTTTGGACCAAATAATCTAAATAGTATTTGGCCCAGGCTAATTTCAGTCATTTTTTGGGGGATCTAGATTAATAAAAAAAATTGCCTGGTCAACATCAAATATTTTTGCACGAGGCTAGTGTTGATTTGCAATCAGGAGGTTTGACACAAGATTTGTTTTTATATATTGTAGGCAATATATAAAGTTAAATATTTGTTCTAAGGAATGTTCATTATATATTTGGTACATAGATAGTCTTTTGAACTAAGCGACGCAATATGAAATTATAGAGGCAGGTAAAAAAAAAAGGGCCATTTAAAAAATAAGTGGACCATTATCAATATATAGAACCATTATAAATCCAAAGAGCCAATTAAAACTAACAGAGCCATTTTTCAGAAGGCATTTTGAACAAACAAGAGTCATTTTGAACACAGGGAGCCAATTTGAGCACAGAGAACCCGTCTTAATGCAATTACCAATTACCAATTTAAATAATTATTTAATGTAATTCAGACGGAATAATACCATGCTAACCTGAAGCTTCAACCTCAGCTCAGCTTTACATGCCCACGTTAGCACGGTCCATACCCAAGTTAGCACGACCTATACCTACGTTAGCACGACCCATACCCAAGTTAGCACGACCCATACCCACGTTAGCACGACCCATACCCACGTTAGCACGACCCATACCCACGTTAGCATGACCCATACCCACGTTAGCACGACCCATACCCACGTTAGCACGACCTATACCCACGTTAGCACGACCCATACCCAAGTTAGCACGACCCATACCCAAGTTAGCACGACCCATACCCAAATTAGCACGACCCATACCCAAATTAGCACGACCCATACCCAAATTAGCACGACCCATACCCAAATTAGCACGACCCATACCCACGTTAGCACGACCCATACCCACGTTAGCACGACCCATACCCACGTTAGCACGACCCATACCCACGTTAGCACGACCCATACCCACGTTAGCACGACCCATACCCAAGTTAGCACGACCCATACCCAAATTAGCACGACCCATACCCAAATTAGCACGACCCATACCCACGTTAGCACGACCCATACCCACGTTAGCACGACCCATACCCACGTTAGCACGACCCATACCTAAGTTACCACGACCCATACCCACGTTAGCACGACCCATACCCACGCGGGACGGCAGGCATCAGCCAGGAGATGAAAAAATAGGTAATTTATTAAAACAAAAAATATTTTTACATATAAATATAACATTTAAAATAATTCACTTCAATATATATAAATTCTAGCTACAGGGAGGCAAACACGAACCACCGCACTTCAGCAGTCATCCACAGCAGCAGCCACTGCTTCATAAGACTTATTCTAAGACTTGTTCTGCCAAACTAAAGTCTAATAATGTAGGAATTGAATGCAAGTGCAATTTTAGAGACTTTAAATGCGCTCCGAACCATGCATTGTGTTGGACACATAGTTGGTACTCTGGCTACTGGCTGGTACTCTGACTTCCAGGTGGTACTCTGGCTACTGGCTGGTACTCTGACTTCCAGGTGGTACTCTGGCTACTGGCTGGTACTCTGGCTACTGGCTGGTACTCTGGCTACTGGCTGGTACTCTGGCTACTGGCTGGTACTCTGGCTACTGGCTGGTACTCTGGCTACTGGCTGGTACTCTGGCTACTGGCTGGTACTCTGGCTACTGGCTGGTACTCTGGCTACTGGCTGGTACTCTGGCTACTGGCTGGTACTCTGGCTACTGGCTGGTACTCTGGCTACTGGCTGGCTGGGTACTCTGGCTACTGGCTGGTACTCTGGCTACTGGCTGGTACTCTGGCTACTGGCTGGTACTCTGGCTACTGGCTGGTACTCTGGCTACTGGCTGGTACTCTGGCTACTGGCTGGTACTCTGGCTACTGGCTGGTACTCTGGCTACTGGCTGGTACTCTGGCTACTGGCTGGTACTCTGGCTACTGGCTGGTACTCTGGCTACTGGCTGGTACTCTGGCTACTGGCTGGTACTCTGGCTACTGGCTGGTACTCTATGTAGTAGTCTTACACTTCCTTTGAAAGGATGAGGAGGAAGTAGAGCAAGAGCTCCTTCACTACCCCCCATATCATCACCCTGAATAGGTCAAGAGACAGGAGACGGCATCAGAAAATCATCACTCGCGTCAGTGATGATTCCAGTGGATGATGCCTCATTCATCAAGTTACATCTTCATTAAATAACCTCATGCGGCACTTTATCATCATTTGCCAACTGGTCCCTGTGATTAACGCTCTAATTAATTTACCTTCGGATATCCTACTGATTGATGGCTGTCTGTTGTTCCGGAGGACGATAACCATCTCGTTAAATTACTATAAACGAGATGTTGGGTTATCGTTAAGATAACGATCACCCGACATTATACTAGGACGCTCTCTACGATTAACGACTGATCATTCCAATCAATGAGCACGATTGATATTTAATTGGTTGGCAAATTATTAAATGATCTACATGGACATTTCGTTCTCAGTAGCTAATTATAAAACAACAACAAATATGGTTAATTAGTGTTTGAAAATGTAAGGAGTACTTTATGAAACGCATCCCTAGGCGTCAGACTGTTAATAAAGTGTGAAAATGAACTTTGGATAGTTGATTTTTCAACTTCCCCTCGACAGTGAAGAGGGAAGTTGAAACATGAGAAATATTGAGGAGATTCGAGTTAGAATCATTAATCTTACCCTTTCGGTCATATTCAACAACATGTTACAAGAAAGAATACCAATATATATATATATATATATATATATTATATATATATATATATATATATATATATATATATATATATATTAGTACTATTTGGTATTATATTCATTATTTTCAGTATGAAAATTTGACTGAAACGCCCTTAAGATAAATCAAACCAAAAGCCACAGAACTGCTTTAATAAAATAATAATAATAATAATAATAATAATAATAATAATAATAATAATAATAAAAATCACACTAACGTGATACATATCAATGAGGAAAAACCCACTTAGGCCTCACAGCCCCGGTGAGTAGTGATATCACGTGACAGTAAGACAGGATATAATGGCCCGTACTACCATATAACCTGGGTCAAAGGTCAGAGCCTGTTAGGGCAGGAAAGAGTGGGCTGGTGATGGAGGGGGTGTGAGGGAAAAGGGAGGGAGAGGGGGGGGGGGGAAGGGGGGTGTTATGGAGGTGATTGGGCAGTGGTGTCAAGTCGGCCACACGCCACTTAACGATTAAAGGCACTTATCGGTCCGCTCCATTTGGACATTCAATTGGCCAAACGTATTGGCGTTGGTATATTGTTTATTTCCGTTGCTTAGTGTTGTTAGTGCTTGCGTTATCTGCACGATTGCTCTGATTCTATCAGCTGTTTTATCCAACTGAATGACATGAATGTTTGGTTCGTGGATTTGCTTAATTCTGAGTCTTGATTCAGTTGCTTTGTTTTTACTGCTTTCAGGCTTAAATCCGTTGTCTGATTCAATCGTTTGACTCAGTTGCTTGATTGAGGGTTTCTTGAACCAGTTGCTTGATTCAGTTGCTTGATTCTGATGCTTGATTGAAGGTTTCTTGAACCAGTTGCTTGATTCAGTTGCTTGATTCTGATGCTTGATAGAAGGTTTCTTGAACCAGTTGCTTGATTCAGTTGCTTGATTGAGGGTTTCTTGAACCAGTTGCTTGATTCAGTTGCTTGATTCTGATGCGTGATTGAGGGTTTCTTGAACCAGTTGCTTGATTCAGTTGCTTGATTCTGATGCGTGATTGAGGGTTTCTTGAACCAGTTGCTTGATTCAGTTGCTTGATTCTGATGCGTGATTGAAGGTTTCTTGAACCAGTTGCTTGATTCAGTTGCTTGATTCTGATGCTTGATTGAGGGTTTCTTGAACCAGTTGCTTGATTCAGTTGCTTGATTCTGATGCGTGATTGAGGGTTTCTTGAACCAGTTGCTTGATTCAGTTGCTTGATTCAGTTGCTTGATTGAGGGTTTCTTGAACCAGTTGCTTGATTCAGTTGCTTGATTCTGATGCGTGATTGAGGGTTTCTTGAACCAGTTGCTTGATTCAGTTGCTTGATTCTGATGCTTGATTGAGGGTTTCTTGAACCAGTTGCTTGATTCAGTTGCTTGATTCTGATGCGTGATTGAGGGTTTCTTGAACCAGTTGCTTGATTCAGTTGCTTGATTCTGATGCGTGATTGAGGGTTTCTTGAACCAGTTGCTTGATTCAGTTGCTTGATTCTGATGCTTGATTGAAGGTTTCTTGAAATAGTTGCTTGATTCAGTTACTTGATTTAAATTCTTGATTTAGTTGCTTGATTCAGTTACTTGATTTAAATTCTTGATTTAGTTGCTTGATTCAATTACTTCATTAAACTGCTTCATTTTCGAATATTGCTATAGTTTCATGGGAGGTGGGAGGAAGACCCGGGTGCAGCCGGGTTTATCTAGTCGCCTATAAACCGTAAATGGCGTGCCTAATAGCTAGAACCGCACTACTTGGCCTAGTATGCAGGGTCTGATGTGCCTAACAGGTCGAAAGATTTTCAATATTTTCAAATATTTCTTTCCATATTGGTTTCTTTCTAACAATAATAATCTAGTATATTAGGAACATGAATTACTGACTTAGTTATGTTAGATTATGTTAGGGAGGATAGGTTAGGTTAGGCAGGTTAGGTTAGGTAGGTTAGGTTAGGTAGGTTAGGTTAGGTAGGTTAGGTAGGTTAGGTAGGTTAGGTTAGGTAGGTTAGGTTAGGTAGGTTAGGTTAGGTAGGTTAGGTTAGGTAGGTTAGGTTAGGTTAAATGAACAAATCCACAAGGCCCGTGACGAGGGTTCGAATCTACGTCCGAGAGGATCCCAGACGCTGCCTTAATCGACTGAGCTACGACATGGTAAAACAATTACAACCGGGAAATCATCTTGACCTACCACGGGTCTTGGAGCCTTTCCGAGAGACAAACCAGGTTTTTTACACAATTCCCCCCCCCCCCCCCATGCACCCGAGCTCTGTCAATAAGCTGTTGTACCTCTTCGCCCTTACTTCATTACACACAGAAATCACAATAACGTGATGCATCAAATGAACAAACCATGTCGTAGCTCAGTCGATTAAGGCAGCGTCTTGGATCCTCTCGGACGCAGGTTCGAACCCTGGTCACGGCCCTTGTGGATTTGTTCATTTGATGCATCATGCTATTGTGATTTGTGTGTGTAAAGTTAGGTAAGGTTAGGTTTGATCAAATGTCTATGTTAGTTTTGACTCAAATAGCATAAAATTGCCATCATATATATAATACAATGAAAACTTTATTATTTCAAAATATAAAAAAATGGAAAAATTCAATATTTCACGAAAAATCGGTTTTGTTTAGCAACTCTGGCTATTAGGTACGATACACACACACATTATATATATATATATATATATATATATATATATATATATATATATATATATATATATATATATATATATGTGTGTGTGTGTGTGTGTGTGTGTGTGTGTGTGTGTGTGTGTGTGTGTGTGTGTGTGTGTATGCATATATTAACATTCATTTGCTAAATATTATATTCTGCCAATCAGATAATATTATATTCAGCCAATCAGATAATGTCCTAAATGTATAACCAGCTAATATTAGCATCAGCATATGTTAAAGAAATCAAACAGGGGAAAAGGGGGGAGGGAATGAAATCACCACAAAATGAGATTGCTTTACCGATAATCTCACCCCCTCGGTGTTCTGAGAATAGCATTGTTTAAAGAATCAAAGACTATCATTACACCGAACTAGCCATTGATAAATCTAAACGAGTGTCAAAAAGGAACAAGTATGACCGAAGAAGATAAATCACAGCTCAGGGCGCCCCCCCTTGATGATTAATGGGGGAGCTGGAGGAGGTAGTTCCTATTTAAATAGGGGGAGTAATCCAGGGCTATTTCTGGAGGTATCGTCCCTGTGTGTGTGTGTGTGTGTGTGTGTGTGTGTGTGTGTGTGTGTGTGTGTGTGTGTGTGTGTGTGTGTGTGTGTGTGTGTGTAGGCGAATACGTGTGATGATATGTATATATATATATACTCTTTGTTTATGGATATGTATGGGGGTTAAACCATGTATTCTGGCGTTTATAC